TCCATTTTGAAGTAATGTGGCTCCAAGGCCAACTTCACTTGCATCGCACTGAATTGTGACCTCCTGATGGACATTATAGTATTTGAGTACGGGTTGAAGACTCACGAGACGTTTGACACTCTGAAATGCTTCTTCCTGCTGCGATTGCCAAGACCAAATGGCTCCTTTGTCTGTAAGACGTCGCAAAGGTTCGCAGGTTTCCGATAGGTGAGGCAAAAATCGAGACAAGTATGTTGCTAGACCAATAAAACGTTGCACTGCTTTTACATTTTCAGGTCTTTTAATATTTGTAATGGCGCTAACTTTGTCTGGATCAGGACGGATGCCTTCCGCGGTAAGTATACTGCCCATATATTTAACTTCAGTCTGACGAAGTTTGAACTTGTCCTTGTTTAGCTTTAGTCCCACCTCCCGAGCTCTTTGTAGAACTGCCGTCAAGTTGCGGTCATGATCTCGAATTGCTGATTCCATGGTCTGTCCACAGCCGTAGACTATGATGTCATCCATCACACATTCTGCTCCTGTTAGTCCTTCTAACACTTCATGTTGTCTACGCTGGAATTCTTTGGGCACTGATGAAATGCCGAAGGGTAAGCGCAACCATCTATATCGACCAAAAGGAGTCCAGAACGTTGTTAGAAAACTGCTAGATTCATCTAATTTGATGTGCCAGAATCCTTCTTTTGCATCGAGGACGGAGAATACTTTTGCATTCGCAAGATTTGGTAATATGTCCTCAAGGGTAGGCATGATGTAGTGTGATCACTTGATAGCTTTGTTCAAGTCTCTGGGATCAATGCATATGGCATGCGTAGCTTACCAGGTTTTTTCACGGTTAGCATACTACTTATCCAGTCTGTTGGGGTAGTAACTTTCTTGATCACACCTCTGTTCTCAAGATCCTTCAACTTTGTGTGAATTTCCTGTTTCATGGCTTGATGAACTTTTCTGGGTTGATGCTGAACTGGCTTGACAGACGGATCAATTTCAATCTTGTACTCGCCTGGGAAAGATCCTAGGCCCTCGAATACATCATGGTATGTGTTCAACAGTTGACTGCGCGTTAGTGGTTCAAAGCTATTCTTAACTGATGTATCAATACTGTTCACAATATTCACAGATAACAGTCCTAACCTTTCACATGCTTCAGCCGAGAGCAGTGCAGTTTGATCTGTATCTACCACATAAAAGTTCAGACATTCTGTATTGTTTTGTACTGAGCAGATAATGTCAACAGTACCTAAGGGCTCAAGCTTTGATGTTCCACCATAGAGTCGAAGAGCCTTGCTGGTTGCTTTCAATGGTGGACAACCATTTTGGGTAAGAATGCAGTATTGCCGAAATCCAAGAATGTTACATGTTGATCCAGAGTCCAGTTGGCAGATTACATCTTGATGAGTTGCATCGTCAATCACCATGTTGACTTTTGTAAACCACTGTTTACCATGTGTTGTCTTCACTGTGTAACAAGATTCACAATCACTACTGTCATCTGTTTCATCAACTTGAAGAACAGTTTTGTTAGCACTCTGACACACTGAAGAGAAATGATTTTTCTTTTTGCACTTGTTGCAGATTTGTCCATAAGCAGGACACTTGTTTCTTCCTCTTGCATGCTTTCCACCACAGTATTTACATTTAAAATCTCCTTTGTCTGAGTATTTTGGTGGATTTGTTGAAGATCTTTTCTGCTGCTTTGTATCTTTCATGTGTTTTTTATTTCCTCTTGTTGCATAGTTGACTTGAGCTGTATTATTATTGTTAGTGTCACTCTGTCCTTGTAGTTTCTTAAGCTGGCAGGTAGTTCTCTCACTGGTCCTACACATGTCTACGGCACTGTTAAGGGTAAGCTTAGATTCTCTGAGCAATCGTCCACGAACACTTTGGTCCTTAGTTCCCAGTACTATCCTATCACGAATCATTTGGTCCATAATATCGCCAAACTCACATGTCTTTGCAAGTTCTCGTAGTCAGCACAAGTAATCATCAAACGATTCATTGGGCATCTGGTCAGCCGTATTAAACAGGTCTAGACGGCCTCTGTTTTTGGAGGATAGATTTTATCCTCTAAAAACAGAGGATAGAGGTGTCGCCACCTACCGGATTTTTCAAAACAAAGGGCAGTTAACTCTTAACCAAACAAATAACAGCAACTCTTGCATTTATCAGTTTATGAACCGTAACAAATAAAACGTAAAATTTCATGTGATGATGGATATATCTAGATATTAAATCAATATAACATAATTTATTTTGTAAATGCTGTCAATCAATTGTTTAGTTTTAATTAAACTTTAAAGGTTAGTTAACAACGATCACCCTTACCTGTCCGAGACGTTAATTATTACCAAGCCGATTTTCCTGTACCGTAATTATGTGTAAAATGGTTTACAAATGTTGATAAATATTTTTTTTTTTTTTTTTTGGAAAAATTAAGTTTAAGTATTACTAGTATTTCATTTAATGAATAAAAATGATGAAATACAGTCATATTCATTTTTAGAAGTAACTTTATATTTTAAAATAAACTCCAAATAGTTATGACTGTTCTTCATCAGTATTCTAAAAAATGATGAATTTTAGTCATTATTAAAACTCAAGTTTATGACTAGAAATCATCATTTTTAAAAATGATGATTTTCAGTCTCACCCCTGACTGTACATAGGAATACATGTATGTGGGAAAACATCTTTAAAAATATTTTTTTAACGAATATCAAAGTCATTACTAGTCATATTGATATTGAAGCATCCTCAGGTAGTGTAAGATTTAAATCTGTCCAAATCAAGACCCCCAGGGCTAGGATGTGGCCAAAATTGGGATCAAAAGTTTACATATGAATATATATATGAAGCAATCTTTAAAAATCTTTTTCTCAAGGATAACAAACTGGTCACCATAGTCTAGTGGTAGGGTGCTGGCTTCGTAACCAGGAGGCCAGGGTTCAATTCTTCGGGTTAAACCTAAAACATAATAAAGCTAGTGACTGTTCCTTCACCAAGCACTCAGCACTAGAAGTGAAAGTCAAGGATTTTTCGGATGAGACCTTAAAAACTGAGGTCCCATGTCAGGGTAGGCGATGGCATGATAAAGAATCATCACTGCATGCTCAGTTGCCCTGAATATCGAGTATGGGTCTAAATTTGAAGCCCTTCACCGTCATCCAGTGACATCTTTGTATGAGTGAAAAATTCTCGAATGGGACATTAAACAACATAGAATCAAACATACAAACAAATCAAGAATAACAAAGCCATTACCAGTCACTAATATTGATAAAGAAGTATCCTCAGGTAGTGTAAGATTCAAGTTTGTACAAATCATGACCCTCTGGGAGAATGGTGGGGCCAATATGGGCAATCAAAGTTTTACATAGGAATGCATAGGAAAAAACTTTAAAATTCTTCTTCTCAAGTACAGAAAAGTCATGATAAGTCATATTTGTATGGAAGCATCCTCAGGTAGTGTAGATTTAAGTTTGCTCAAATCATGACTCCCCAGGGCTAGGGTGGGGCCAAAATGATAGATTAAAGCTTTACATAGAAATATACATGTATATGAAAAAAGTCTTTAATAGTCTTTTTCTCAAGAATAGCAAATCCATTACTGGTCATATTGATATAGAAGCATCCTCGGGTAGTGTAAGATTCAAGTTTATTCAAATCATGACCCCCAGGGTAGGATGGCACACATCTTTAAAAATCTTCTTTTTAAGAACAGCAAAGCCATGATTAGTCATATGAATATGGAAGCATCCCCAGATAGTTTAGAATCAAGTTTGTCCAAAACAAGACACCTAAGGGTAAAGTGGGGCTAGAACAGGTGATTAAAGTTTTACATTTGAATATAGGAGAAAAAAAATCTGCTGATGAAGAACAACAAGGCCATATTGACTCAGGTGAGTATTGTGACCCATGGGCCTCTTGTTTCAGTAAGGAGGCAGCATATAAATTTAAAAAAAAAAAAACAATTAAAAAAAAAAAACCAGACAACTTTTTGTCCTGAATGGCGTCATTATTTACAGATTTTTTCATCACTCCTGTCCATATAGATTTGCTTGAAAATGCTTGAAAGCAACATAATCAATGGCATGTACTTCATTAGGGGTTTGGGAGGGGGCAAGTTTTCTTTGCAGATCGATTGATAATTAAAAATATTATAGTGTAGAAAATATAATTGGAAGGTCAATTGAATAAAAAATTTACACAAGAACTTTTTAAATTAAATACTTATTATAACATATATAATACATGAAATATTAGTTAAAGACCAATAGAGGCCAATCTGAGTTTACAGGGTTTTTGGTAGGAGGCCGCTGTTTGGCCCCATTCCCAATGGTAAAAATATGTGCTTTTCCCAATTTGATCAAAGAAAATTCCCAAAAGACAATATGAAACTTTATTGCTAAAAAAATTGTCTGATCGAGCTCAGTCACATGTCTATCAGGATCAGTTTCAAAAAAATTCTGAAAAAAAACACATGCTCTAAAATGGCTGCCATTTTCCATAATGTCACATAATTCAAAATATTATAAAAAGAAAACTGAAGTTCAGAACAGCAGGAAATTAAATTGATTTGTAACAAAGATTGACCGAATGTATAATAAGTCAATGAATGCCTTGCAAAAGTAGAAACTGCTAAATTTTTTCCCAAATGGGAAGCCCAGGCATTTGATTTTAAGACCTGAAAAGCTTTGATATACTAATAGCAATGAAAAGTGCTTTAGTTTTATTGTTATGTTAAGTCTGCATGGTGATAGTGACAAATAGGGATAAGTACAGGCAAGTAAATGATCTACTTTAATATTTGTTATGGAGTACTAATTATATTGTTGATGATCTGACTGATCATCCTATTTCTCTTGCAATTGGAAAACTAAGCTTCATTTATTGTAGTGGAACCATCTTACGTACGAACTGTCTATTAATGTTTGTGAATTTAAGTACAAGTTATTTTTAGATGTAAACACATGATGGCTGCAAGTGCAGCACACCGCATATAAACTTTATAGATACTAAATTTGATCCACCACAGAGTAAGTTTTATATGAATTATAAGTGATAAAGATTTATGCTTATCTACCATGTGATTACAGTAAGCAATCTCACAAATGAACTGTTTATATGATCTGCATATAACATGTAAACAATCTACAGCTACAATATTTTCCCGCCATTATTGTCCATTGTCTCAAAGCACTTATTTTTAGAATCTGTGTTTGTGTCTCATAGTAATGTTTTGTTTTTGTTTTGTTTATTGTAGTTTTTTACCTCTTCTGAGAGTCTATAATAAAAGCAAACATTATATTTATCATTTTTGTTTTATTTTATACTCTATGGATCCTTCTTAGTCTTGTATCCTACTCAGGTGACTTTAAAGGCCCTTGGGCATCTGTATTGAATTCAGAGCAAAACAGTATTTAAGTGCAGAAGTAAAGTGCTTATTAACAATTTCAAAATTATTTATTTCATTTGAATGCATCCTCAATCATGAAATTTTCATTCAAAATATGGTTTTTAGTTCTGGATATAAAAATTGTGATTCAAATCAGTATGACTTTCTTGGGCTTGGATGCATACCAATTTAACAGGTCAAGGAATCTACCTTTATATGGATATTGTGATTATGGCGCACAGAGGTGCTTTGATCAAACACAGTTACCTCATTTCAAAAGTCAGAAAATATAATAGTTTCATTAATTGACCTGTTGAAAGTAGTAAGGTCAGACTGGACACATTCCTCTAATATCTGTATTTGCATTCCTTTGTAATATACCAAAAATATTTAAAATTATCATTATCTTTTCATTTCTAAACTATTTTCAAAATATCTGAAAAATATATATAAACCAAAATCATGATGTCAGCAGTTCAAGCGACCTCTAGTATAGAATTATGTAGGAAATACCACCTTCGGAATCTTGCACAAATGCCTGGTAATTTTTGTGAGGAAACTCCTTAAAATAGCAAAATCTCAATCACAAAATCTTGTGAAAAATTATATATTTTTGAGGAACGTGTCGTCTGAACTTAAAAATCAGTACCTGTATATTCATCTACATTTATGAAAACTATGTTTTTTGTAGGTGCTTCTCATGCTTAAATTGGAATAATGGCTTAATACTTGGAAAAAAAAAGCCAGAGTAATTGGACCACTCAAAACCATTAATTTGTTATACATTGTACTGCAGTCAACTTGGCAGCAATGAACCTCTGAGCTAGTGTCAACCTAAATGGATGAAATGTAAAGATTACTTTTTACAGGTAATTACATGTAAATATCTTTTTGATGTGGTAATAATTCAATTAAAAAGCAATGGTATCATAATTGCCAAAAAATTTCTTCAATTATATATACTTTTTTTAAAAGTTGTTGTGTATCGCCATTTCTGGCTGTCTGTGCACTTATGCCCAGACTATAATTTTGTAATGGAGAAACATTGAAAGTTCATACATGCAGTACATCTTGCAAAGAATGCTTATAACTTTAAGGTGTACATGCCATGATCTTTACTAGAGATCATTTAGATATTCCTGTCCTGATCTGCAACATAGCATACTAATACTTTACACCCACTCCCAGGGAGTGACAAATATCATTGCCCAACAACCTGGGCTAGCTTTTCATGGTAGGGCAAGTCATTTTTGCAAAGGTACATATACTTGCCCATGGGCAAGTGAATAAAAGTTTGATGAATGTACATTGAAGTATATCATAGGCTTGATCTAATATACTGATCAAGTATAAGGATTTACTTGATTTAAATGCAAGCAGATTTAGCAAGTAAATATGAAAAACATATAAAGCAGTTTGCCCATATAATTTTCTGTGAAAAAAAATGACCTGGACATACATGTATCTAGAATACCATGGTTCCCTATCCACTGGGAATTACTAGTTTCAAAAGAATCTATCATCAGTGATATATTAGGAGTGAAACGGTTCACCGCGGTATCGATGCACCGCGGTATTTTTTCTCGGTTTGATGCACGGTGCAAAATCTCTAATTTTCGGTTCGGTTCATTTTTCGGTCGGGATCGTTATTCAGTCGGGTTTGGCATAAGGTATAACACGTTACTCAGAATAAATAAGTATAGAAAACGTAAATTTTTGATGACTGATTGCTTGTAAAATAATTTTTGACAGTCAAATAATTTTAATCAATTTCTTCTAGTCAATTTGCAAATAAAATTCGTAAAATATGTGACTAGATTTAGAAAAAGAAAGCATAAAACAATGTAGAATTTGTTTCCTTCTATCAAAATGTATCGTATCGAAAATAACCGAACCGAGACAAAATTATACAATACGTATCGAACCGTAAAGGAGGTGTATCGTTTCACCCCTATGATATATGTACTAGTGGTTTATAGGTCTCTGTTCAAATTGAGTAAATTTTGAATATCTTTTAATATCATGATTATGAATTTGTATAAATGTATGTCAAAAATCTATTTATCAATGACCCAAGGTCATTTTACAACCTCTAGGTCACTGACTAGTGTTTTTATGACACAAGATCACTGCAAATTATTGCTAAGTTCTTCTAAACAAGAGGCCCATGGCTAAGCCGAGCACTGTGGCTAGGAAAAAAGCAAAAAATCAGTTCAGTATTGAAAAGCTTTAATGCATAATGTTAGAATAAAAAAAATCATTAAATTTGTTGCTATCTAAACGTAGAAATTCCTTTTCTTGCAATTTTTCAGTATTAGCTGTAACTTGTCCGCTGATGATTCTCATGGTCCATGTTATCGGCATATTCTCATCCACAGAAATGTCGTTTATAAATATTACATGTGCATGTATATCTTTATCACCTTATCGTGCCTCTATCAACCGAAAGTTATTTTCAGTCTTCCCTTTTTAATTAATTTCTCTTTAAACTGTATAATCAATGTTTGTAAGTTTATTGACGAAACTGACTTAAAGCAAAATCATTACCGGATATTTAAAATGCCAAGTAAATGTCAAAACAATATAGAACTTTCAAAAATCACATTTCGGAAATAGAAAGCGTGGTTCCAGTTTTACTATTTGTTAGTGAAGTAGTGAGAGTATTGGTCTAAAGCATTGGATAAATTGGTTGGATTGGTTGGATAAAGCAATTTAAAAACATTGTTATGTCACTCTGGACACAAATCAGCAGTCCTCAAGGTTCAATGCACTGCACTATATTTCTAAGTATGTCCTGAAAGTGTGTTATGACCTTCACCCAAGGATATTTGATCTAGTTCAAGGTCACCCAGAAAAGAAATATAAAAATCAAATCTAGTCCATTTCTCTTATGGAAATTTTTTAAAGGCATGTAATATTACTTTGATCAATGGTCATTTTGGTTAATTCAGTATCTCTTGCATAAAAAATGTATAATTCATGTCTGGTCCATAATTTTCTTATGGGTAAAAATTTGATATTCATACTGCACACTAAGATTACTCATGACCATAGGTGCACTGTAGTAAATTCAAGGTCACTTACAAAAATGTACTTAGGCAAATTAAAAGAATCTGCTTTGGAAGGGATAGGGGTGTTATAATTTTGTGAGATTGCTTAATATTCTCTTAAGTAATAACTCTAATTTATAAAGTTTGATTTAGTTTAAAAGCTTTTTGGAGCTAATTGAACCATTCCAACATTATCTGCTTAAAATAATTAGGTATTACCAGGACTAAATTGTATGGTTGTTTTATCTTATGATAGATACTAAACGACTTTGATCAAGACTGTAAATGACATGTATTTTAAGTTATTTAATGGAATGCCTTTAATGAGGAAGTTAATAAATATATGTAAAGAAGAAATTTGATTTCATACTGAACGTTGATTTAAATTTATGTCTTTGATCACCTAAATAATACCAGAATTAAGTTGGTTAAAAAAGGAGAGGTCACATGGTTATTGGCCATGGCGGTCGTGTTTTTCTAGTGGAGATCTTCAGATCAATTTTTGAGCTTATTTGCTATTTACTGGTCCCGGAAACTTCCCTGGTTTCTTATTTTCAACACTGTTGAAGGTTGGATTTGTAAACGAAGGAAATATTTGTGTTGTTTTTAGAAATTCATTATTTCCTTTGCCTCCATTTTGTGATACAATGGTGCGAACACGTAAGGAATCCAGGGGGATCTGCACCCATGAGTACGATTCACCAAAACAATCAATGGCACCCGACACAGTGGAAAGCCAGCCGTTTCCCTCTAGTGGATTTGGACATTTAAGGAGGCTGGGGGTCAACAAATTAACCACAAATTAACCACCAGATTTAACTTAATTTTTTAGATATGATATCTTAAGCTGTCAACTATCATTTGGCAAAGAAAAATTTCAAAAATTTTAGTTTTAAAATTTGATCATTTTCTATATCTTCATATGGAGCTCTTCTTCTAAAGGAGATCAATATAGTCTAAAAATGGCCACAACCCCCCAGCCTCTTTAAATCCGTTTCAAGCGACGGCAACCTTTGCTCCTGGCATGGAACCTTTAACTATAATGGAGCCCTACAAAACTTTGGCCAAATTATCCCAAGATGTTGGAGACATAAAGGCAGATTTGTGGGAGAAGGATGGCTTGGATGACAAAATTCAATGTGTGGCCGGGACTCAGGAAGAAACTATTTCAGATGTGGAGCTTTTAAAAACTGAAAATGAAAAGGCTTCATTTATTACAAAATAAGAAAGCTCTCTTTGGTCTTTAGATATTTCACTGGGAATCTATTTTGCCATGTCCTTTCTTCTCTTTGTATATACATCCATTCTATTTTTGACACAAAACCATTTGCCTCTTTTGTCATTATTTACAGGTGTGTGCGAAAGTATGATTGTGTATGAAAGTGCTGATTATATCGGATTTTTTGCTTGGAGGTTGCTTAATACTTTAAATACTGTTTACAAATGAATGACTCCATAAAAATTGCAACGGTAAACTGTCAAGGACTAAGCAACACCTCAAAAGCGACATGATGTCCTAAATTACTATAAGAAAAAGGGTCTTTCTATTCTGTGTTTGCAAGACACACATTTTACTGATGATTTAGAACCTTATGTAGAAGCTCAATGGGGACATAAATGTATTTTTAGTTCTTTTAAGTCCAATTCACGTGGTGTTAGTGTCCTTTTTAATAATAACTTTGAATTTAAAATTCACAAAGAAAAAAAAGATTGTGAGGGTGAAACAAAATAAAGACATTATTATTCAGGAGAAAGAACACAAAATTTCCCAATATGCTGATGACACTTCGCTTGCACTTGATGGTTCACCAAAATCACTTTTTGCTGCTCTTGATACCTTGGATTTTTTTTTCACGGTTGTCTGGGTTAAAAATAAATAGTAATAAAACAAAAATTATTTGGATTGGCTCGAAAAAATTTTCAAATCAATTTTTTCACCATCCAAGATGGAAGTTAGATTGGGGGTCAACAACTTTCTCATTGCTGGATATTAATTTTTCTGTAGACTTAGAAACTATCACTGACACAAATTATAATATTATTCTACCCAAAATAAAGTCTTTGATTCAACAGTGGAACCAACAAATACTAACACCTATTGGTCGAGTCACTGTTGTAAAAACTTTAATTTTACCAAAACTGAATCATTTATTTATTTCTCTTCCTACACCTAGCAGCGACAAAATTTCCTCATTAAATAAAGATATCTTTGAATTTGTATGGAAATCAAAATGTGATAAGGTTAAGAGAAATATAGTTACTCAAGATAATCTATCTGGAGGTTTAAAAATGGTAAATATTTTTAACTTCATAAAATCTTTAAAATGCACTTGGGTCCAAAGACTGTTAAATACAGGAAATAAACCACGGTTAGATATATTTTTGGCAGTTAATGGAAATGATGTTATAAAACAATTTTTAGACTTTGGAGACAAGTATATTTCTAATGTTCTAATGACAAAGAACAATCCTTTTTGGTTTGATGTTTTTAGTTCTTGGCAAAATGTAATGAAAAAGATGGAACATGACAAGGATATGAAATATAAAGCTTGTAATATTCCAATATGGTGCAACTCAAACATAAAGATTGATAGTAAGAGTATTTTTATAAAAAATTGGTATCTTAAAGGTGTTAAAACTGTTGGAGACTTCCTGTCTGATGATTGTTTTTTTCTTTCAAAGTCTGCTTTTCAACAAAAATTTAATATTCCTACTTTAAATGTAATGCAGTTCAATAATGTCATTTGTGCTATTGCAAAATGCTTTAAAAATCTGGCAATTGAGAGAACATCAATGAAGAAAAGTTGCTTGCCTTATTTACCATTTTATTATGAAAATATTTTCTTAAATAATAAATGTACAAAAATTATTTATAATGTCATAAACAAAAATTATATGCAGCCTACAGCAATTTCAAAGTGGAATGTAGAGTTGACTCCCCATGGAGTGAATGATATATGCACACAAGATGTTTTTCGAGTATGTTTCAAGACTACAAATGATTCTTCTGTAAAGTGGTTTCAATACCGACTTCTTCATAGAATTCTTCTAGTTGGATATTATCTTTAAAAAGTTAACATTAAAACATCTGATTCATGCAACTTTTGTAAGGAGGATATTGAAACTATTCAACATGTATTTGTAACTTGTAATGACATAGTGGATTTATGGAAAAATTTGAGTATGCATATCTGTAGAACAACTTCTAAAAGAATTGGTTTTAATATTAAAAATATTATTTTGGGTGAAATACCACTCACTAAAGATAACATGATTATAAACTTTATCATATTATACACTAAGCAGTATATTTTTTCTTGCTCATCACAATGTAAAAAAACAAACTTTTTTGGCCTTATAAATCATTTGAAAATGAAATATAACACTGAGAGAAGTGTATCAATCTATAACTCTAAATTATCATTGTTTGAAAAGAAATGGGACTTATGGAAGAAAATGTTTGAACCCAGTTGAAATGTTTTTCTTTTTAGCCAATCTATGGAATATTATGGAATGTTTTATATTTGTTTTTTCAATAATTGTTCGTATTTTTTTTTAATATGTGAACAACAGATATAATGATTTCTGTCCTCTTAAAGCAGCCTTCATATTTCTTCATCATATGTCCAGCTTAATCCGATAAGTGTGAGTGACAGTATGAATGTGTGTGTGTGCAAAAAAAATCCATTGTAGCTGTTTTTGTATACATTTATATGCATGTATGTATGTATGCAATGGACAATGTAAATTAAAAAAAAAAAGTTGGTTTAAAAACATGGTATATGATAATAAAATTATTTATTCTGTTTCAGAATGTCCAGGAAATCTTCAAATGCAGGATGTAAGCTGACACAGAAGAATTTCGAAATGTTCTCTTATAGAGGTTAAATAAAGTGATGTGCTATTATATATAATACAATCATAACAAATAATCTAATTAAATCAAAACAGGAGCTCAAAGGATTAGTGAACAATTCAAATGACTTTAAGAACAGAATATTGAAGTAACTGCATGCATGAATATACAAGGCAAGGAATATATATTTAAATGTCAGTAAACTGTTATACATGTATTAAAGCATAAAAATATCCTCTTTGTGAATATTTCTATGAAGATGTGATTGGAGAACACAATACATGTACTAGTGACCAATGACTTGAGAATTCCATCTCCTTAGCCAGAAGAACTGCAGAAAATGATATATTCTACATGTATAATGTGAATTCAGTGTTTTAATGCTGGAATGTGGAGCTGTTGATTAACTTGTCAGTACTGGAATTTAAAATACTGTGAAACAGGAAATTAAAATTCAACATTCTTAAAAATGACTGGATATTAGTAACAATCAAAAAATGTTTTTTTCAAAGATTTGTTATTTTTTACCAAATAAAGTCTGTTTTGTTCAGAAATGTAGTGTTTTGTTGATGATTTCTTACCAATGATTTGTAAGTTATTTGTTATGGCAGGTAATTTGTTTTTTAAATTGGTGTGTATAATATTGATCCTTGAACAGAAATTTGAAGTTTACTGAAAGTTGCAAACACATTCATTATTTGACTCACAGATTATAATAGTAAAAAGTAATGTAGGAATGCAACTTGTATGTGTAACTTCATCGACTGCTTATGATATAATACTGAGTAACTCGGAGCAAGTTCACATTTTCTATGTCATGTCTGTAAAGACATGGTTTAAATGACTGCCAAAAGCTGAGGATCAGAATAATCGCTGTACATGCATATACAAGTAAATACATGTACCTGGGTAATCCACTTATTTGGTTGGAGCCGGGGTATGGTAGAGTAATAATAGATGCAACAAAAACAATTGAAACTAATCTCCAACTTGCACAGATTTAAGAAATTAGTAACATGTTCTGTTTTCAATACATGTAATGTCAGTGTGCATGAAAGATGGTGAAAAACTTGGTTTATAAAGTGTACCTGTGTACTGCGTTCAGCAAGACACTGAATCACTGCATTTACAGTCAACTTGGACAGGTTCTGTGATATGGTATCTTGTGTAAATATCACTGTGACATTTGTACTTTCAAGAAAGGGTAAAATGACTGGGCTTAGCTTTGGGAGCTAGAACATTTGAGGTAACCAAACGGGGGATTATTGAACCAGTATATACATGTATATGTGTAGTATAAACTCCCCAAAAAAATGGGTATATTACGGCGACATAGTTTGTCGAAAATAAAAAAAATAGAGGAGTGAATTTTGTATCTTGATGTAGTCAAAAAATGTTCCATCATAATTATCTAATGAATGCATTAGAATTTGGTCTCTTGACGCCGCCATCATATATATATCACCAGTGAAATGGCTCTCATTTCACTTTTGATACTTATTTTAATATATTTAATGATTTTCTTAATAAATTTCATATCATTCATAAAATTCATTTACTTTGATAAGTTCTTGATATCCTAAGTTATTTGTTCACAATTAAGTAATGAAACTAAACAAACACATTTTACATCTGGCTAATTCTTAATCCCCAGAAATATTTAGAGCTTTCTTAGCAATTGTAAATCATTTGCACTCATACTGGCTGATGGCAATGGTCACTGATTAGGTGTTAGATTAATTAAATAAATCTTCTTTGACTTCCTGACATCAAAGGATGACACTTGAGTATTCTATTGTTCAGATTACTTAGTTGACAAGTTTTGCCCTTTGGCTATATTTACATTGAGTAATTTCTTACAATTAGTTAATAATATATATTTGAGAATACAGAGAGTTAAGGGAGATCTAGAGTGACAGAGCTAGTGAGTTGATGTGTTAATTAAGAACCATGTAGGAATTAGACTAAGAAACTTTTAAGATTCTATTTCTATTTAGGCCAACTTTATCTAAATTTTAGTTAGGACTTGGACTTGCATCTTTATGTTTTTATGTTGTTTGGAATTCACTGTTACTTTAATAAACTGTCATTGTTACCCTACAAATTTGGACTTATGTGCTTCCTAACATTCCCCAAACCCTTGAGCTAAATTCCCCAATGAACGTGCACCGCCGAATTATGTCCCAGACATCCGAGAGCGCGGTCACAGAGTGGTCGAGAATCCGGGTCGAATCCTTTAGAATTCCTCTTACAGTGGACTAATGTGAACATTCTGGGACTCTTGGATTTCTACAGGACCTTTGTGTTGTTGAAACTGTGATTTGTGACTCTAACATTCTTCTAAAGAAAGGAGCCCTGCCATCAAATCTATACAGAAACAGCCTGCCAGTTCCTGTTGGTGAGTACAGCCACTACTATCACATGTGTCACAGTTTTATAACTTTCTATTATTTTTATTAGATTGTTTTATTTACTGTATTTTTCACGATAATGGCTTACTCCGTTAGAAATCCACCTAGTTCCCTCCCATCCCACCCTCGCAAATTTGTAGCCTCCATTTCAACAGCTATCACCAATAAAAACAAAATTCAAGTTAAAATCTCGAACTTTCATATCAGTGCTCTAGTTGATACTGGTGCTAATATTTCTGTCATTTGCAATAAGTTTCTTAAGAAAATTTTCAGAAATCCTTATGTTTCAAGATCAAATTTTTCATATGTCAAAGGTGTTTGCGACACATCTCATAAAATTCTGGGAACAACAGACCTCGATATTGATGTCAATGGCTTAAAAATGCCTCATACTTTTCACATCTTAGAGACTTTGCCTCAAACCCTAATTTTAGGACAAGATTTTTTAGAACAAAACAAGGCTGTCATTGATCTTACAAACCATTGTGTTTCTTTTCAAAATGAAACAATCATTGCTTCTATTACAACCCCATACAACAAATATGATGGAAACCAACATCTTTCCCTTGCTCGTACAAATTCTGAAATTTATTTACCACCTTTATCTGAGTCAACAATCACCCTATCAGTTTCTAATGTCCCTCATGGTTCTGAAGTCTTCCTTGAACCAGTGAACCTTCTTGTAAACAAGAATCTGGTAGCAGATGCGTGGCTACATGTGTAAAAGACACAGTTCCATAGAGGATCCTAAATCCTCTCAATGAATCAGTTGCTTTAAAATCAAATTCAGTTGTTGCGAAAGTTTTTCATATGGATTCCAACTTTGACATCATCTCCATTGACACTGTACACTCTGCATGCGTGTCAACCTTAGATACTACACAGACAATGGCCACTACAGATTATACAATTATCGCCAAAGAGCTCAGTGTAAACATTCAAGAACAAAACCTTTCGTCTGTCCAAATTCAACAACTCCTGACTCTGATTGGACAAAACAGAGATGTGTTTGCCAAGGATGCCTCTGAACTGGGGAAAACCAACCTCCAAACCCATTCAATTATCACAAACACAGACAAACCTGTCCGCACACCGAGATATGCTCAAAATCCACAAATGCGACAAGAGACAGAACGTCAAATTCAAGAGATGTTGAAAAATGGTGTGATTGAGGAATCCACTTCCCCTTACCAAAGTCCGGTGGTCATGGTTAAGAAGGCTAATGGACAATACAGATTTGCTGTAGATTACAGGAAACTAAATTCCATCACAGAGCTCGTTTCCTTTCCAATTCCTAAGCTAGACGAAGTGTTTGACACAATAGCCGACTCAAAATCCAAAATTTTCAGTGTGTTAGATTTAGCAAGTGGATTCTGGCAAGTGCCTTTGGATGAGAAAACCAAACACAAAACTGCCTTTATCACACATCAAGGACTGTATCAGTTCAAACGTCTACCTTTCGGCTTGACAAATGCTCCAACAAGCTATCAGATGCTGATGACAAAAGTCTTACAGGAATTAAACTGGAAAATTGCACTCATATACATTGATGACATTTTGGTTTTTTCTAAAAATTTTGATGAACATTTACAACATTTGGGCCTCATTTTTCAAAAACTTTGTAAAGCCAATCTCACTCTTCAGCCAGCCAAATGCCATTTTGCTGCCCAAGAAGTAAAATATCTTGGACACATAATCTCTGAAAAAGGTGTTGAGGTAGACCGTGCCAAAATTTCCACAGTTGCTGACTTCCCACAACCCCGAAATGCCAAACAGGTCCGCAGCTTCCTTGGAATGTGTAACTACTACCGGAAATTTATCAAAGACTACAGCAAGATTTGTGCTCCATTGTTAAATCTCCTGAAGAAAAACATCAAATTTCAGTGGAAACAAGAACACACTGGTGCTTTCAACCTCCTGAAAACAAAATTAACAACAGCTCCTATTCTAGCGTTTCCTGACTTTGGCAAACCTTTTGTGCTATCCATTGATGCATCAGATGCTGCCATTGGATATGTCCTTGGACAAATAAATTCACAAGGACTTGAAAATGTAATTGCTTTTGGAGGACGTGCACTACGAGATCAAGAAAAACGATGGCACATTAACCATAAAGAAGGCCTCGCTTTGATTGAGGCCATCAAAACATTCAAGGCTTACCTCACTAGTGCTGAGTTTACAGTCTTCACAGACAACATACATGTAACAGTACGCTGGCTGGACAACACTAAGGATGCGACAGGTAGACTAGGACGGTGGGCTCTGTTTCTTCAACAGTACAAGTTCAAAATACAACATCGTCCTGGAACGAAAAACCTAAACGCAGACTGTCTATCTCGTCGAGATTATCCTCCTCCAACTCCACCAAGAATGCACTATGATGAGGACCTACCTGCCATCGGATCCATTGAAGCTACTAGAAAAGAGTTTATGGCGGCCACATTTGAGTATCCAGATGACACTGCACCTAGGAAACCTGATATTCTTGCCTTGAATGCAGCAGATCAACATGATGATATTGTCTCAGACAATCCTAATCTACAGCATCTGCAAGAAAATTGCCCTGACTTTCAAGCCATCATTGAGTACAAGAAAACAGAAAATCTGCCTCAAAATTTAAACAAGCTACCGCAATTGTTGCTAAATCATTCCATTATGAAATAACTAATGGACTTCTGTTTCACTTTTACAAAGAACGCACTAGAATTCAATCTCCAGATCAAAGTCTTGGGAAGCAACTTTGTGTCCCCACACCCCTTCGAAATGACATTTTGCTTTCATATCATGACTGCATTGCTGGTGGCGGACATCAAGGACATGAGCGCACATATGCTACTATCCGTGCAAAATACTACTGGCCAAATATGTATGCAGACATTGAAAAATATATCAAAACTTGCGAAACCTGCCAGCAGTCCAAGAGCTCAAAACATCAGAAACCAATCCCTTTGACGCCACTTCCCGTTGAAGACATATTTACCAGATGGCACATGGACTTCTTAGAGCTACCAATGACACCAAACAAGGATAGATATCTTTTATTAGTTGTTGACAGCTTTTCCAAATGGTGTGAGGCTTTTCCTTTAAAGTCTATGGAAGCTACAGAAGTTGCGAGAGTACTGTTTGCCGAAATATTTGCTAGA